GTAATGTTTTTCTGTAGGCTAGTGATGAGAAACACTTTACATTCTTGCACCCCACTCTGTATTATTATTTATATTATACAGATTTATAGATTAATATAGTACAGAATTATTATTTGGTGTTAAATTCAGTTTTGAGTATGCATATTGCCACACTCATTAATTAACACTTTCTAAGATTTTAGGTTTTCATACAAATTCATATGTGAAATTTCAGGGTCTCTTCTTCTAGGTTTTGATGCTGTGTAAAAGATTAATGACATTTCAAAGGAATATATTGCCTTCATCTTTACGGTTGAAGTGATTAGACTGGATGGGGGATGATTTATATAGGAAACAGTAGGAATAGAAATCAGGAAGATTTAGCTTCTTGACTATAAAGTTGGAAAGCATTGCATCATTATGGAAGAAAAGTGAAGTTACGTTTCATCCCCCAACAATACGAATAGGGAAAAAGTCTTCTTGTTCCTCAACAAGTTAAGGTCAACTGCTATTCATACACTGAAGACAGAGTGGAAGTCTCACTAAAATGTCAAAGATATCGGCACGTCCCATGAGGGCCCTGATAGGGGCCTGTTGTTCCTGTCTTCCTTGGGCCATATTCCTTTCTTCTGTTCTTCTCCTTCTGGTACCACAAATGTCAGTCCCATTCTTCTCTTCTTGACGCTTCATCCCTTGTTTCTCTGGCCCTTAAAAGGTGCATTACTGATACCTATGGAGATTGATCCTTACCTACCATTTCATATATAAAATGTCTCCTCATAACTTATACCCTGAATATTGAGGCAGTATGTTCCTCCAAACATCCTAACCTCTAATATATGGTAACAGAACCCCGAAGAAGAGCCCCATTCAAAACTTAACCCTTTGTTGCCCAAGTTGAATTCATAAAATCCTAACCTCAGACCAATTAATTTACATGTCCCTAAAATGCTACATTATATTATGTTAAATGTAGCAAAATACCTGGTGCCCTGTGTAGATATTCTATTATTTGTCAAACACAAGTCTTTATTCTGAAATATGCAATATGATATTCAAGTATCTTGGTATACGTGTTTTGTTATCGGATCCTTGTTTTTTACACGTGTGCTAGAAAATATGCTTACTGTAATACACATCCATATACCACTTAACAGTAAGTATATTTCCGCATATACCCATATACAGAGTGATCAAAAAGTGATGCAACCATTTCCTGACACACGTTCTTTTCGTCAAAATTACACAGAAATAAGATTAAAAACAAGTACTGGAAATGTCCACCACATTCAGTGATGCACGGATTCACTATTTTCATCATGTCTGATGCAACAAAATAGTTTCTGACCCTCATGTTTCCTTTGTTACAAAAACATTTAACCACATAAGATATTTTAAATTTGTTTGGCACGGGAGAATCGATGAATATATTTATATATTTCATTCTGGCGAGATAAGTAAGAACAAGACGCCAGGTAGCATTCAACAATGAACGCTAGTTGCATTTGTGAAAAAGACATCCTTGCGCTACAACTGTTCAGACAATTGACAGACTGGCTCGAGCAAGTTATAACATGATGCGAATTGCTTGGGCTCGTGTAGTCACTGCATTACTGTGTGTTTATTAATTTATTTGAATTGTACTGAATTTCAACCATCAATACATGTTTTAATTTGGGTTTTGTGAATTTTTGATTACCCTATAAACTGCAGTAAGCATACTTCCTAGCATTTGTTATGTAAAATATGAGTTTGATTGTAGTATGAGAAACATGGCAGTCAGTAATAATACTTGTAATAAAAATAACTCATTACAGGAATAAAATGTGTCTCAGAACTAGGCCTTCTGCATGATACACATTAATTAGGTTCAAAATGTTTCATCAACTTTTATAATACTTAATTTAGTACCCTGTTAATCCTACTAAAACAAAGGTAAATTTGTTTTCTAATTAAAGACACTCTTCCACATGAATAGGGTTCTTAATTTACATATTGTAGACCAGCTTGTATTAACAATAAAATTACGTTGTTGAATTCATGAAGATGATGAAAATGATACTTATGCCAAACCACATTTCTGGAAGATATCATTCTCTGTTTATCTTTTAGTAAATACACAACATTAAATACTAATGAGGTAGCAAGATAGAATGATAAAGGCCAGTTAATGGCAGTACAAGAGTTACTGATAACTGAGAATGCATACGATAATATGCACAGAAAAATTATCTTAAAAATGTACTTTTAATATGAGTAACTACTATAAAGATTTACATAACTGGCTTATTATACTTTAATCTGAATATCTATTGCCTGGAAATTCATGATATTGCATTCATAATTTTTTATTATATAAATTTGTACAATAACATACAATTGTACTATTGTTTCAGATTTCATGAAAGTTCCAGAACCCTGATCTAACATCAACACAGCACACTTAAATAACAGAGCAGCTATTTAAATGACTGACTAAGATTTTTGGCATCCTTTATATATATTGACCTCAGAGCTTACGATTGCGGAGAATAGTCGTCCCCGCTAAAACCGAAGTTTGCTTACGCACCATGCCTAAAAATTATGTTAGGACAAGTAATAAATCATAATTTAATTTGATATGTATGCATATAATTTTGATATGAAAACTTATAGCTCTTATTTATTAAATACTGTACCATTTTTTTTTCAGTAGACACAGTTTTCATCCAACATTCTGAATTCTTAAGGCGATGAATTTTAATGAAACATCTCCTATTTCCGGTTAGTCGACTGTAATACATTTGAGCTCTTAATAACTTCATGTGCTGAGCAATGATGTTGCAATTAACAAATTGTTATACTAACTTCTTAATCTGATTCACTTATAATTGGGTACAGTGAATTCATGAATTTCCAAGCTGTAGTGACAGTGGGAACAACAATGGTCTTCAAGTCATAAACAATGGTCTAAATTCACAAATCCTCTGTCGCACAACAATAAAATCAACAGATGCATCGTAACAAGTTGATGATAATAATAATACGAGGCATTAATGTGAGTAGAATTAAACACACTTAAGTGGTAGTTGATATAGAACAATTATTTAGAATAAAACATAACTTTTACTTTAATATATATCTACGGATTTAATATCTTCTCTCATTCAGAAGAATTTCCATGTTCGAGGATTAAAGTGAAAAATAAGTAATGTATCGCTTATAATAAAATACATTAATATTACAGAGTGGAAGAATTAAAGAAAAATAGATAATTAGGGGCAGTTTGTCATATCTCGATAAAACATAGCATATAAATTTAAGCTACTTCATAACAAAGAGCTTCAATGTAAACATATCTGAGTTGTTTAATCTAAACACAAGATGAGGTATGACCCATCTGTTCTTAGCAGACATTTTAATCTTCACCTAGAAACTTACGCAGATAGGCTAATCGACAGACGTTAAATTTGTTCTTTATATGACGTTATATATAAGAGTGGGACACACGAAATGTCAATTAGCAAGGATTAAGGGCAACAATGTCATAACGGAGAGCTTCTATCTGTGGTTTCTCTTTTATCACTGAGGTAATAAAGATTTGATAAACATCAATGTAGCTAGCCTAAAAAAACTTAACATTCAGGTAATGACTATTACGTATGTTACGTAACATGCCGTATACAGGGTAGTGCATATTTAATCATCCCATTTCAAATAACTGGATTTTTTAAATCAACAATTGTTTTAAAATTAATAGGTATTACATTAGTAAATATATACGCAGGACTACAAACTGCAAATATGATGTAGCGCATTACGTGCAAAATCTGGAATTCTACCATAATCAAAAGCAAAGTGTAGGCTGTCCTGAATTACACAAAGTAAGTAAATAAATTTCTACTACACAAACTGCAGTGCAAATAATGTCAGATTTTAGGTTATCACAGCTGTGAATGTGAGGTTATATATAGCCTTCTGGGGTACAGTATTATGTAGTCTCACAGAAATTGGCTAAGGTTTCAGAGATGAATACTGCCTCCATCTTCATGATTATGACTCACTCATCACCCTGATGATGGAGGTAGTGTAAACCTCTGAAACTTTATTGCCATCTTCAGGCTTTTCCTAATGAATTTATGTTTGGAAAGACTAAATTTTCCTTGCATAATTTTAATTTCATGTCTTCTTACTCTTTTGAATCAAATTTCAAATCAAAATTTTGAATCATATAAGCTACTTTACCAAAAAATATGAATTTTGATTTAATTACTATAATGATACTCGGTGAGCTGTATAAATAACAACATTCCTAGCGGCACAATTATGCACCTTTTTCAACGAAATAAAATATTATTATTAAATTTCATTTAGAACATTAATAATACTGTACTAATTGTTCTTAAAGTTAATGTATTGAGGCCATGTATTATGGTGTTATTGTGTTATTTCTCAAAAATTAATTCAAAATTGTATGGACATATTTTTATATTTGAACCAAGAAAGAAATTATTCATCTCTTGAATTAATAATATGGTGAAGTATTGAAATGGTACTCGAATTACATTAATGTCATTAAGTCATTAAATGTGTTAAAAATAAGTAATATGTTCTCAAATTAAATGTTATTGATTCAAGAAATAGGAATCAAGTTCAGCAACATTTTATTATGTAATATAACTCAATTACTTTTTCATTTGAGGGCATTTCTAAAACAATAAACTACAAGAACACCCCAGTGATTAAAGTTAACAGTGTTAATATTATATTTTTAAATGTTTATGGATAAAATTCACATGACCAATAAAAATTAAAACAAGAATTTTATGTTTAAAAGAAAATTGCAGTCTTCAAAGCTACTGCAAAAACACACAAATAAATAAATAAATAAATAAATAAAAAGAAGCCAAGTGTGGACAACTGGTAAATGAGCTTCTACAATAGCAAAATTACTGATCTACACAACTCCACTATCACAAATTGCAGTGCCTAGTGTAGGATGCTGCGCTGAGGTTGAAGGCTATAGCGTCGCTTGGCCGTACCTTGGGAGTCCCTGCGTACTGCAGCTTGTTGTGGAAGGCTGGGGGATCCTGATGGAGGACCCACTGCTGTTACATCAGAGAGGCCTGATAGTGGTCTTTCATCAACTGGTGTAACTACCCCTCCCTGGCTAGACACACTGGAATGCGATGTTGCCTTTGTCATGGTTGGGCGACAGAATGCCTGCAAGCATTACCAGGAAACGCAATGTACAAAAATGATAAACTTAAGGTATTACAACACCATTTTCAGGCAAGTCATTGCTAAACTCACTGCTATTGGACAAATTAAAATGTTCTTAATTCATCGGAAGAAAATCCTTCGTCTGGAATGAGGAACAGAAAAAAGAACTTTAACATTAGGATGAAATATGTTGAATTTTAAAATTGAAAATTATTCTGTTGGACAAAGTCTGTACCCTTAAAAAATCCTGTGCAGTTTGATCTCTTGGTTTTTTAACTGTATGAAAGAAATGTGGCGAGAGTCTTCCGACTGCTTTAGAATTCATACTTCAAATGCACATAGATCATAATCTTCGCACATGCAACCTCAGGAACACAACTACTGATTCTGCTCATCTAATCTACAACACTGAAGACTAATCCCCTCATTAATGCATCACATGTACATGGTTCATGCTGGTTTCTCAAGTGGCAATTATCGTATTCTTGTAATAGTGGAAAATGGGGGAATTGCAGTCACCGGATAATAAGCATCACACACTTCTAAGATAAAAGATGTCAGATGCTTTTAGCTAGTGTATAATAATATAAAACACTGACTTTCAACATTTCAGGAGGATATATCTCTTTCCAAGACAGCGGTGGACATTTTCAGCGTCAGCCGCTAAACTGTACTGTAAGTTCTTCCTAACAAATAAAAACTAAGACAGCAGCTCATTTGTTTTCTTGGCAAAATTTCCCTTTCAGATGCAACAACACATTTTCTTTAAAAATCTTCTTTTCTTTATCTCTGTTCAACTTCAGAGTAGATAAGTTGACCCCAAGGAACATTCCCTAGAAGTTTGGCACGAACCTTCCAGTACATTCTGTATAAACACGCAATCAATATTGCAGTATAATATCAATATAAAATTACTCGTTTCTTCTACATCAATTACATATCAATTAATATATTTATCTTGACCAGAGAGATACACACACACAATGTCGATGAGACATCACAACTTTTATGACATTTCATTTTGGGTATTAATTAAAATCAGTGTGCATTAATTAATTGGATAAGATAATTAACCTTTTAAAGACCAGGGTTTAACAATACACACAATCTGTTTTCAGAATCGGTGATGCGACATTTTGTATTTAGAGATTTCATATGTTCCTTATATCAAAGTAAACAGAGATTACGTTAAACAGAGTTAAGGAGTTGATCTTTGTATGGACTAAATTCTTAAATATATTTTAGACGAGCTTTCTACTTTAAAGGGTTAAACAAACTTCTGTAAAATCATTTATTATTTATAGGTTTCTATTGCCATAACTGTTCTACGGGAAACCGATCCATTTTGTCTTAATGTTACAAATGCATGCGGCTTAAGAAGTAAAGTACGTGACTTGATGTTTTCAAAAAACACACCATCTAATGAAAAGATATAAAATGGCACAACTGCTGTTACTTTTTAATTACAATCATCCACTGACCTGTAGAAAATGAAAACAATGTTATAATAAAGAGAAGTGGATTTCATAATTATCTACAAAAATTTCACGTACAAATGTGATATACATAATTGCCACTTTAAAAATCAGCATTCATTTTGGTGTGTTTACCTGGTGAGGTGTGTTACGATTTTGCAAACTCGTGCAATATTGCTAGAAGAGAGAAAGAGAGAGAGATGGAAAATAAAAGACATAAAAAATTAACAGGTAGACATAGAATGAGAAAAGGTGTGTGAATGTACAAAAAGCATACATTTAATACAACGATGTATTATAAAACTAAACATTAAAAGGAATAATAAAACAGAATTACATTAGTTAAAAACAGTTTTTTGAGAGAGAATACGAGCCATCAATTAGGACCAGATTATCATTATTTTCTAGATATGTATAATTACTTACCAGAAAATATTTTATCTGTGACATACCTAATATGGTCATAGTAATGAGTAAGGTATCTTCATGCGTAAGTACCATGCCAAGAAAGCATATGGGGGTGTGAAAGTAAATGATGCATTCCTAATCTTGGCTTTAGATGAAAATACGAGCCAATCTTTACGTCATGGTCTCTTTTACCCACAGCACAAAAGTGACCAACACAACTATGGCGGCCGAGTTTAGGTTATGTACCGTCATGGGTCCTCATTAGCCCAAAGTAATTATAATTATCATAACTCTGTCATATCTAAGAATAAATTCAGTGATTCATTCCATAATGCTTATCAATTTATAGAAAGATTCACATCTTTTATTTATTATCAGCGTAAATTTTCTGTTGAATAAAACGTCTATAATGATCATGCCTAATATCACATGTTACCAACTTATACAAGTAGTAAAGCATAATGCCAAATAATACCAAGTAAGTAATAATATAGAACTTGAAATAGTCAGAACGATGTCTTAAAATATTAAAAACTATTGAACTCAATATTATTATGTAAAATTTCTTCTAAGTGATACAATGACCATAGCACTTTAAAAATCTAATTATATTTTTTTAATTAAATAAATCAAATTGCAACCTAAAAAGTACAGAAACCAAAATTACTATAATAAATATATAATTGATGTATTTTATCATTATCATCACTGATAGAAATTCATAAAACTCTTATAACTTACATGTCAGCAATTGTCGTGTAATCATGTAAATTTCATTTTGCAGTATAATTAAAACACCGATAAAATGAGACGTAGCCGTGAGTTTACCTGCATTCTGTGGGCAACAAGTTCAGCGATGTGACGTCTGTCCTCTTCTTGTGAGTCACCCATGAGACTTAATGCACTATCATTGACTTCGATGATAAATTCACGGCCATCTTTAGCAACAATTATTTCCAGTGCACAGATGTCGAGGCCCCCAAAAAGCTCGGACACTTCATCTACCCACATCTTGTAGCGATCAGTCATTTGTATCTGTTCTAGCATGGCCGAACCCGTGTTTGTTTTCCAATTACCAGAAATTGATTTACGCCTGTGAATACAACATAAAACACATTAAAGACTTTTAAATATTTATGTCAGATGAGAGAAAACTTGTCATCTATGCCAAGGCAAATTCCATGATCTTGTTAAATATGATCTAAGTCTTACAGAATGAGAAAAGTAGACTGTATGTGGCTTGTCAGACTTTCCAAAGTGATCGACAGGGTAATTTTATAAGCAATAATATAAGAATTCAATTATAAAGGTTTATGACGACGGTGGATTACACTTAAAATTATTCACAATCTTTTAAATAATGATGATGGGAAAAGTCCAGATAGTGAATAATTTTAAGAATATAAAAATGTAAATGTTTATAATAATTCAAATAAAAAATACTTAATTTTAAAAATCAACTTACAAAGAGTTTTCAATCAGATGACTGAAAAACTGGTGAAACACATTCTCAAAAATGTTTACATACCATATTTCAATATCACATTGCTCCAAAGAAACACGCAATCATGTGAAGGGGAGACAACTCCACTGTTGACTAACATATTCTTCGACTGATTTTAAATTTCGCGCCTTTAGGTTGGTAATAACATTCAGTGAAAGATGGCGTGTTGAGCAAGGGCGGTTTTCAAATTTCGTGTGTTAAAAGTGTTTTTTCTGGCGGTTTTGAGGTCAAAGTTTATCAACATGATGAATCTACTGAAACAGGCATCCTGCAAAGACTCTAAAAGTAAGTCATTTTTATACTAATTTCTTTAATCAGTATTCCTTGAGCATTTAGATTGTGGTTGAGAAAACAAGTTCACTCAAATTGGATTAAATGACACGCAAGATTAGTGTGTAAACTCTGCACACAGACTTAACAGTACAGAATATTTTTTTGTCAGTCGATATGTTTATTTGATTTTGCTTGAATTAGTGTTTTCAAATTTTATTACGAAGAAATAAATTGTTTACTGCATTTTGAAGCTGACTGATTTTACTGTGTTATATTAAAAGTCGTGTTTGTAAAATTAGCAGCGGCTGTTATCACAGTACGTACCTTGTTTTCTCAGCTTGCTCCAGGGATGTGTTGCAGGGGGCTCGGAGGAGCCCCTTATTAATGTTTTGCTAATTTTCCGAATCCTTTGTTATCGGCACATAAGATATCAAATGATACAGGTGACACACCTGTACCAAAATATCGATACAATTGGCTCGTTACTACTTCCAAATGCCAAATATGAACCAGACCTGTATGTTTGCTGTCACTTCACTGAACGAAGATGGCTGTCTTCTGGGTTACAGCGCCGTGTAGTCTTGTAGAAATCTACCAACATTTCGCAGGTCCTATCTTCCTCCATCATCAGGGCGATGAGGGCCTTGATGATGATACACGAATCAAGCACCTCTGTTGTGTTGGTAAACGTGCACCAGACTGCAAGGAGCTTCAACCCAGAAGACAGCCATCTTCGTACCCACCACCGTGAGAACCTCAAATCTTATTGTAGTAAACCAGCTGTAGTTTATATCTTCTGAAAGAGACATATATAACGTGTGAGAGTAATTACTGTGCATGCGGGACAGATGGTGCTGGAGTGCTTCTTGGTAATGCAAGTCCCTTGTTACAAACTGGCACCTCTGGCCTATGAACGTAATAATCTCTGCCTCTGACTCACCGAGTAAGTTTCTCACGTAGTCACATTTCTACAGCGCGCTGCGTTAGTAGTAATATGGGATTTATGAGAGTTTAAATAAGTTCAATTCGTTGCCGCTGAGCTGCGCGCGAGGTGAAGAGTAATGCGAGTAGAGAGTTGGTTATGTAGTTACTTTGCAGCTGAACTAACAACTGAGCATCGTGCACATAGCAGCCACGTCAAATAAGCTGAACTGTATTACATCATAAAACTTTGTGATAAATTAACCTACCTAATTTAAGTACTGACTGTTTAACTACGCGGTAGTCCTCCCTGGACAGTTGACAGTTGTACATCTGGTCAAGAAATTAGGTAGTAAAGAACGAAAAGTTCCGTCAGAATGTTTACAAGAGATTCTGTCTTGAGTTAGCTCAATCCAATTCGCGTATTTACTTATTTATTTATGATCAACTTAAATAAAACTTTTTTTTATCTACGTTTTCCACAGAATCTAACTTCTGAATTACATAGCTCAGCATGATGAAGTTGGCATTAACTGGATATAACGCCGTATTCCACTGTCTGAATACGAGATACGGATATGACTTTGGCTCAATTATAATATGCCAGTACATGCACAGTAATTATAACACGGGCTCTGTGAATTTACTTACATAAAGGCCTTGTAATTTGGTCCTATTTTCTGCACATGGATGTCATACTTGCTGTCCACATACGGTTCTGTCGTGCAATACGTGTTGGCGACGGCAACGACAGACGCCATATCCTGGAAGTCGCTGTTTGTGTCCACTTTGACCTTTCCCAGTCCGCCATGCGCATGCCCAATCTTGAAGACAACGGGAAAGCGAGCCGAACTCAACTGCACGACATAAGAAGTAGAAATTACCTCCAGATATCACAGTATGAGTAAAAGTCCAAGAATTGTTACTCTACTTTATTATATTCTAAATTAAGAAGGGTTTTCGACGAAAGAAGTGTAAAAGGTTAGGTTTTATAATAACTTTCAATAATGGCTGAGAGAATGTCTATATGTAGCTTTTGAGTATATGGATGTTTATAAATATCAACATTGTCAATTTTTTGACGTAAATACGTCTAAGAGCCACGGTCGTCTAGCGGTTAGAACGCTGGCCTTGTAATCCTGGGGTCTCGGGTTAGATTCCCGGCGGTGCCGGAATTTATAACTTGTGTTGGGCAAGGCCGTGGTCTAGGCAACACGGAGTTTTCCTCCGTGGCATCCCAACAATTACTCCATTCACACACAGAAGAAGGCAATGGCAAACCACTTCTGGATCATCTGCCAAGAACGTATATGAACAGGTCCCAGTCCGAGAAAAGGATGGAAGGATCCTGTTCATATGGACCTGTCGTCAGACAGAACACTAAATAAATATAAAAATATAAATACGTCTATACGGAAGGGTCATTCGGCAAAAACAACGTTAGGAAAATGTGTAACTTTACTCCATTACCTAAGAAACTAATTGTTATGTCATCTGTTTATTCGGCATTGTTGTGTTTCATTACTGCTGTCAACAAACCGCTTAATATTGTGTTGTTAAAAACGTTTTAGAATATCACGAGTACTTATCTTATATAAGATTTATTAAGAAATCTGTGATACTGCCCTCCACACTCTCCAATTTAATTTTTATTAAATGAATCATTGCGGGTGGACATCGTGGTCTCTTACAAATTGAACAAAGTTTGAGGTAAGGCATTCCTATTTATTATTATTGTTCATCACGTTAAGCCAAGGTATGACAATGCAACAGAATATTTTCATAAGCATTTTAATGAAAATATATTTGAATACGCTTGTAATATATGTGATCGGTTATTATTATTTTATTTAGTGTTCTGTCTGACGACAGGTCCATATGAACAGGATCCTTCCATCCTTTTCTCGGACTGGGACCTGTTCATATACGTTCTTGGCAGATGATCCAGAAGTGGTTTGACATTGCTTATTTAGTGTTCTGTCTGACGCCAGGTCCATATGAACAGGATCCTTCCATCCTTTTCTCGGACTGGGACCTGTTCATATACGTTCTTGGCAGATGATCCAGAAGTGGTTTGCCATTGCCTTCTTCTGTGTGTGAATGGAGTAATTGTTGGGATGCCACGGAGAAACCGGGGAAGCCCCCGGAGGAAAACTCCGTGTTGCCTAGACCACGGCCTTGCCCAACACAAGTTATAAATTCGGGCACCGCCAGGAATCGAACCCGAGACCCCAGGATTACAAGGCCATGCGTTCTAATCGGTTATGGTTTGAAAAAGATTTGAAACAAGTTACTGATAGCCATTTAGATATATTGGGTGCGGAGTACGTATTTACGTCAGATTCTCCGGGACCGTGTTTCCACTGTCAATATTTTTTTTTGTCCTTGAAATTATCTCGAGGGCAGATGGTGGCTTAAATTTTTTAAATGAAGGTATTTTTGTAAACGGAACAAACTACTCTCATTCTCCGATCCGTCTTCCTTTGTCCAGTTGCTGATTACATAAAATAAAAAAAAAAGCTTTTGTAAACACCCTAGGGATTCAGATATAAGCGTCATACGTGGGTCGCGATTTGTGGTTCAACAAAGGTCAGAGGTTATGGTTCGCAGACTAAAGGGATGCTGCTCTAATATTCCCTGATGGCTCTGGGATAAGGTATATTTTTAACGAACGTAATTTATCCAGTAAATCGATTTGACAGAGCACTGCGAGGTATCGATCTACAATCTCCATCGTATAAGTATACGATTCAAAACACAACATGGCGGCTGAATGATCCTGTTACATATTCGGTACATTAAAAACAGTGGGAAGTTTCTGTACTACTAATATAGCATCCAATGTCCGTCACGAATGCGAAACGGAAACATTTAAATTAAATTCTGACGGTGGCGACTCTGGTTTATAAGAAATGCAAAGGAGGTATTGGTGGTGCCTACGGTGGGGTCTATGGTGTCTTCGGTTGGGTGGCAGTTTGGTGTCAGGTAAATTCAGATGATTCGATGTCATTATACCGACAGACTATTTTTTGTTTACTGGTGACAGTTGGAGATGAACCTGGAACTTTCAGGTATTAGGCTAGTACACTGACCACTGCAATGATTCGAGGAAAAGAGTCCCGGATTAGAAGCAGAGGTAAATTTTTTTTTTTTGGAAATGTACGTATAAGTTACCAAATCTGACCCTTTCGCTCTCTTATTGTCAAATTGATGAAAATATTCCAACTGTTCTACAGTTATATGATATACCACAAAAAATCTTCCTTATTTATTTTTTTTCTCAAAAATTGCCCCCCCCCCATTCCCCCGTCTCGAAATCTGTAAGACCTTTCGAAAAATGTAAAACGTGTGTTACAAGTTTCTGTACAACATTTGTTCGGAACATTTTTTTTCTGATAAATATTTTTATGAATTTGGCTCAAGATTCACGCAGAAATGATCGTGATTCTTCATGTAAAGTTTCCCTACTTTCTGTCAGATTTTAATCAAAAATTGTAATTTATCGACAAATATTAGCACAACTCCATAATATTAAATTTCATGAATATATGTTCACCAGTTCTCAAAAATATTACATGCGGACAGCGAAACTAATGTAGGCACACTTTTAAAAAAAAATTCAATTACTTATATTGATGTGCACGGAAGAATTGTTACGCTGGTGTATTCAATATAATGTAGATCTAATTTGAAGAGATTTTCCACTAGAGATTACCAAGAAATAATTTTGAATGCTCCATTGTTTCCTAAGTTAATTCGTTACATGGGCGGAGAGATCCAATTTATATAATCTTTTAACGCCCAAATTCAATACAGTTCTTTTGATTTCCAAAGTTGGTAGCATTTTAGAATCCTCTCCATTATTCATAAACAGTTATCACGTGCTCTTTCAGTAGTGTTATTTACTTATTCAATAAGCATAATAATTTCGCATCTTATTCAAGAAATTCTTTATGATAATAACCGTTTCACTTTGAATGGAATTTTAACTAACACTTTCTTTTCAATAATTCTCTTACGAAAGTTAGCACAATTCCGTGTTATAGAAAGCCAAACATTCCCTTTCAGAAAGCGTTAAATTTTAATTTAATGCGTGTTATGTATATATCCATCAACATTTCCAATTTATTACTCATTTATCATCCTATAATTCTACGCCAAACATTCTCAGCTAGTGGCAATTTCGTTAAATTAAACGCAAACGAAACAAAATACAGTCACAACATTCCGTTCATAATCTGCTTCGTTCTGTATAGTCCTTTATTACATTGTGTAAAGGAGTATTAAACCCACACATCTGTTATGACTTACCATTAATTACTCAACCGATATCCAACACTACAAATAGTATATTTTGTATATTTATCGTACGAAATGTTCTAACACGTAACGAGAAATTCTCCTAATTTAAATCCACTTTATCATTTCAGGGGCAATGTATTACCGTACCACTTTATTAAACTTTCCTATTTACTAAATCCAATAAACACGTCTCTTTCAAAACCGGATTTCCTGATCCGATGGATTTCAATACAAAAATTGCAGCATAAAAGATCTATTCATTTAAAAATAAAGCTGAACGCAAGTGTATAACAAAATTCATGTATTATTTATATCAGGTGTTGACACTTAGGGATAAATCTACTTATTTTAATAGGTAAGTTGGCTTTGCCGTATGACTCTTGACTTGGATTCGAGATGTATTTGGATTTAACTTTGAAATTACTATATTTCTACTTTAATCTTCAGCTAAGCACGTAATTATTCCAAATAACATATGAAGATTTTTGAAAATTTGAGGACTTTTTCGATAAAAGAACGTGTTTAGATTCAAGATATATAATTAGTTTTTTTATTTTTCAATGGTTTTTGTGGTTTTATGTTCATTATATTTATTTAATCTTCGTGCGCCGACCTGTAATCGACTCCTGTAGGTGTTAAGTTAGCACGTCAAAACAAGAACTGATCTAAACTAAATTATCATCACGATAGAGTCCCATCTCCGAAACGTCGTTTTTTACGTTTTATATTTACTAGACGATGGATAATATCCAAGGAAATTTTTATTCAATTGACTCTTCACCATCGTCAAGAAGTTTTAGATTTGATATAAAGTTGTCTATGCCACATAAATGGCGCGAACTTTTAGAATTTTGCGAAGAACACGTGTGTATTCCGGGAGGGAATACATATTTCCAGTCTTTGTTTAACGAGAAATTGGTTACGTGACAGTCGAAATAGAAGAGTTCATGGCTTATAGAAGCGAGTTTACGGCTTTGGAACTCAATCTGTTAAAAACGAACACGAGCAACGAATATATATTCTGGCATTCTTGTAGACAGACTCAGACGAACACAGCAGGTAAATTCAATGTGGTAGGTTGAGGCCTGAAATCTGTCGGATCAGTGCGTCTGGTGAGCAGGGTGTTCGTATTCACGGTCTATTTGTAAAGAATCGAAGTGGGCGATGATGGATGACGTAGCATGATTAAAAAGACAATGCTGTATCAACTGAGAAGAAAGATGAGAATAAAATCGAACAAAAGGAAAATACGACAAACATTATAAACAGGAAAAAATTATGCTAAATAAATTAAAATAAAATAAGAAACAGTTAGAGAAGGAATATAAAACAATGTAGAAAAGGTATAATCGGGTACAGACGTACAGAATTGTGATTTCCTTATGAAAAGTGAAATTTAGTGAGTATAGTTTTTATGATTTTATTCAGTCCCTCCAGACAAATAATAGTTCACTAAGCAAAGACTGAAGCCATAAATAAATAAATAAATAAATAAATAAATAAATACAACTTTCTTGGCACCGTTACATTCCTGAGTGCCTAATAAATCGCTTTG